TTTTTTTTCTGTCAGAATATATTAGTTAGATCATGGTAAATTCCCATTTTACTGTAACATTTCAATAGTAAAATAGGACCCCTGAAATTTAGCTGAAATTTAGAGTACAGATTTCAGCCAATGAATGTTTACTTTCGCTGTACAGATTTACAATAAATACTAGAAAATGGAAACTATTTTAAGTCTGAAGCAATCTTCAGTAATAAAATATATTTGTATATTTGTATTATATGCAGTTAATAAAATATAATAAATTTTTTTTTTTTATATACAATATTTGCGAAAGTTAAGTTGTGTTATATATGTCGCAGTTAAATAATAAAATTGTTGTAATATTGTTAATGCATTATTCAATGATCAACATATCACATGTAACAAGTATAATAAGCAGCAAGCCACATAAAGCCACATGATATTGAGAATGTGAAAATACGTAAAATGCTAACTTTTTTATTAATACTTATCTATTAATTAGTAAAATGGACGAAAATGTTAATCGCAATACTATACAAAAGCGTAAATCCAGAGAAAATGAAACACTTGGAAACTATGAGATATGCCTTGCCAAACAGCGTGAGAGATACCATCAAAAAAAAGCAACAGAAACTACTGAACAGAGAGATACGCGTGGATACATGACCGTAAAAGAAATGCCAAAGATTAGAAACTGAAACTAACAGCTATAGAAAATCAAATCGAATCTTGAGGCTAAAACAGCCGCAGCAAAAGCTGCAGCAAGATCAAGCCATAAGATAACAACAGCTGCAGCAGGACCATATAAGACCGCAGTAGGACTAAACTATAAAACAACAGCCGCAGCAGGATCATATAAGAATGCAGTAGAACAGAGCTTAGCAGAATCGACCTAATCAAGATCAGAGCGATGAAAATACATCTCATACTACTGAGCTAAATAAATTTGAAATAGGTCTTTTACAGAAATTTCGTGCTAAAGTAAATAAATTCAAACATTCACTTTGCCCCGTATGTAATAAAAGTTTTCCATCAATAGTACTTATAAAAGGGAATGTCATCATTATTATTCTGAAAAAACATTACCAAAAAAATTCTCGAAAGAGAATAACATGGATCTGGGTGACATACCTAAAGAGTTGCAGGGATTTACAGAAATAGAAGAGATGTTAATTACGCAAGTATTTTTCGTAATGTTTGTTTATAGACTCTGTGGAGAACAACTTAGGTATCGAGGAAATGTAATAAACTTCCCCCAAGATGTAAAAGAATTCGCAACTCACTTGTCTCAGAATTTATCATTATTAGATATACTTATTGTACGCTACCAATCAACAAGTAGTTTGAAATTTAGGGATTTAAAGTTCGTCATGCTAAGATTGCTCGTATATTACATTGGTTAAAGAAGAATAATCATTACTACAATGATATTACCATTGATGATGAAGTTCTACAATCCTTACCTGTTAATGGCTTTATTAATGACTGACTTCAAGAGACTCAGATAGTTGAAGATTTGGATAATGATGAGAAAGATGATGTAATTACGCGTATCTTCATTTCATTACTTTCTTCAACTTATCGAGAAGAAGTTGCCATACAAAACACCCTTAACTATGTGCAGAATGAAGACAGTCCTATCATAGAATGGTCACAAATAAGTAATTTTTCCATTAATGAATTTTAAACTCCAGGATATATTACATACGCATTTCCAACCTTATATCTGAATGGTTGCATAGATCTTCATGCAGAATGTATTAGGGATGTGAAGTCCGCTGAGTATTTTAAATACCTTCTTCTATACAAAAATGGAAGATTTGCACGTCTTGCTCATTGGAGATATTTTGCCTTAAATTTCCAAATGTGCTAGAGGACACTACAAGAAGGTAAAGTATTTGTTAAACAAAATCTCACCGATGTACAAATCACTGTTTCAGATATTCAAAAAAGGATTGTCCAAGGTGATAGTTATATTGCTGATAGAATCATGCGATTTGGTGAAGGTCTACGCGGTTCTCGGAAATTTTGAAATGCACAGCGTTAGAAACTATCTGATATGATCAAACAGATAGGTTTACGAGGCTTAGTATTCTTTACATTCAGTACAGCTGATTTGCACTGGCCTGAACTTCACAGTCTCATGCCGTCTAATGAAAATCCCACAAAAAGAGAGA